TGGGGCCGCATCCGGGGGGCCTGGGGTAGCACTGCGGCGGCTGCTCTGTGCCCCTGCAGCTGACAGGCTGCGGCATCGCGGGCCTGGGACAGGCTTCCTTGGAACAGGAGACAGGGAGCAGTCTTGGTTTAAAACCAGGGGTGGAGAACACTCTGCGCCCACCTTTATAGCTTAGTAAGCGAGTCTGCATAAAATATTGCAGATAAAACCCATTGTTACTCACATATGGGGCACTGTGCCTGTGCCCAAATAAAAAGTGATATTTGTGCAGAACACATAACAAATAAAAAACCTGAGCTATCGTTTTAAGCTCAGTAGTCCTGCACAGTTATGACACCAGATGCTTAAAGCATGGAGCTAAGCTGTACTAAGCTAGAGTTAGGCAGCAAGAACTCAAGCTTGCAATATGCCAGCTTTCTCTTTATTTTTCCAAGTCTGTCGTAATGACCCATAACTCTTCATCATATAGCCAGCGAAACTTGGAGGCCAGCATGCCCCCTTTTCATACCTTTAGAGTGGGAGTAGCCATGAAGATAAAACACAACCTGTCTACATCTAAAGCCTATATTCATTTCAGCTGATAAACCCATTCCATGCTGATAAAATTAATCAAAAAGTCATTCTTATTTCAACAGGAGTACTCGTTTTCTGTGTGAAACTGTACTGCTAACACTTAACTAATTCTTCATTTGTTTTATCAAACAACACTGAAATTTCTAACTGCAGGAATAGCTTCTATTTTTAGTAATTTCTTTTCCATTTCCCATTATGGAAACTTTGTGAGTATCCAACCCACTGAAACCAACTGCAAATGTACCATTATCTTCTTGGAGATCAGGATTTCAAAAACTAAGTTTGCACATATATACCGTAGTGCGTTGCTCTAGCATCAAAGGATTGGCCATCGCAATGCTGTCTGGCTTTTCTGTGAATTTTAGCAATCCCAGAAAATATGCATTAGTTCAATTTAGGGATAGAAAGATTAATTAGAATTGGCTTATATTGCTAAACATTGATCCAAAACACAGTTTTAAAACTTGAGCAGAAGTTACAAATACCAATGCTATGTCAATGAAACCTTTAACATACCTAAAACATTGTCATCACAATTGAAGGCTCTTGGCTTCTCCGTTTTCAAGTAATACGGCCATGAACCATTAAATTTTCATCCAGTACATATAGGGCAGAAGGTTACCTGTAATTGGATGGTCATGGTTTTTGAAACAAAGAACAGCGTTTTAGAATTCTGTCTCGGTTCCCTCAGAAGTCTTCCTGATCTTTGATTCATTTATTAGGACAGCTGGGATAATTTTAGGTAGATAGTGAAACTGTTTGAGGTACCTATAGATTTTCATTCCTTTGCAGATGTAAGTATTGATGCTTAAAAATTGGATTATTGAAAAAATGTGTATTGGTTGTCTTGCACCTTGTATTTCAGTGTAACAAATCCCTGCCCCTCACACCCTACCCTTAAGGTCTGTCGCAGTTCTGTTCCCAAATCCTCCTCCCTTCCCACCTAGTCTAGTAGCTACCATGAATACTTCTGCAGCTGGCATAAAGACTTCTGGAACAGACTGTACCAGACTGCATGTGGCTGGACTGGAAACAGGGATGCCAGAGATGGAACAAAGGTATGAGAATGGTTAGAAGGTATGGAAAGAGAAGGCAATGTCAGAAGAGAGGTGGCTCTAAGGCTGGAAGTGAGACAAGGCAACTGTTCAGACTGATTTCCAGTTGAGTTATCACCATTGTGACAGACCGGGGCACAGGACTTGAGTACAAATCGGCAGATCACAGTGAATACTTTCTATACTTGCTGAGGTAGTTCCAAGTGAAGATGTGCCAACAGACTTCATTTGAGGAAAACCTGAGAAAGGAGACTGTTGGTAATTGAAGTAAAGTGGATGCGAGATCAGTTAACTAGAATATGGCAATAAAACTTCACCCGTTAAAAATGAGTGATTCGCTTAGAATGTCCTTTTAGACTTAAAACAAGGAAAAATTTAATCTTGAAGGTCTACTATTAAATCTTAAATATAGAATTTACTGCCTGCATGTTAGAGTTCAATATTTGCTTTTCTCTGTCTTGCATGAATGTATTTTGTTCTCTCCAGACTTTAAAGGATGTTTTAGGTTGATATATATTTGAAGTTCTTAGCTGTTGAGAAACAGAAGAATTACTGGCTTCTTGCAACTTCACTTCCATCCAAATGTCTGTTTAAATAAAGATTGAAAATTAAGAGTGGGCAATGCTAACCTGCTCTCTAGAAGTCCTTACTCAGGAGAATCGTCTACAAAATAACGATAATCCAGCATGTACTCATTTAAACTTTGGCCATTCTCTTAGGAACAGCAATGAAATAACCACCAACTCTTTCTACAATGTATACAGTGCTACTTGAGCTAAGCATATCAGTCAGAGATTGTGGAGTAAGCCATAAGCCACTAGGTAATCAACAATCAGACACTCGAATATATGACAAAGCGATAAAAATTCTGTCCTGTGAACTGAAAGTTTTCATTAGATTCCAGGAAACAGTGTAACTCAAGATAGGGTAAGAGGTTTTCCTCTGGATGTATAAAAATATTTTTCTTAACATTTAATTTGACTGGGAAGAGTGTTACTGCCCTGCTTGAAGCTAAGATGGAGCAGTATCTTTCTGTCATATTTATGGAAGGGAAGTATGGAACAAGCTAAGAGTGATAAAGACTTCTCTCTATCTACAGACAATGAAATACTTTCCAGTTTACCACTGCAGATGTCCCTCTATTTCAACGTTTATTTCTTCCCATTTTGGTGGCTCAGCACCGTTGTCACACTCCATCTAAAGGTAAGTCCTGAAAGAAGGTGATGGTTTGCAGATGTAATATGTTTCTGGTCAAACACCTCCTAGTGCTGAGATGGGAGCTCACTGGAGTTAAAGTTTATTAAGTTTATTTGGGAATTCCTCAAAACCGGAGGTTCGGGAGTATTTGAAAGCCAGTACAACACTGTCATCTTACAGTAGCATAGTGTCTTCATTTAATCACAAACAGTATGTTATGAAACAGCACAGCAGAACTTTCTACTTTCTTCTTCCCTCTAGTATCCAGTCTTGTCAGATTACTATAAGTTCATCCTGGTCACAGTCATGATCCTAGCCTCTCTAATAGAGGTCATTCGACTCTACCTGGGATACATGGGCAATCTGCAGGAGAAGGTATGTTACTGTGTGTAAATTTGTGCACGAGAGCTTTTTGGAGTTTAATGTAAATAAAATAGTCTACCAGTTCATCTTAAGAGATTCAAGTTGACAAGATGGTTATTTCTCTTAAGTTACAGTATGCATCTTCTATTCCCTTGGCATCAGCTTCCATGTAATTTTGTGTATTCCAAGAAAATTTCCCTCAGAAGAGAGCCCTCTCTCCCTAAAACTGTTTTGTCAGAAAAAGAAAGTATGGTTAAAAACACAGTATATGGAAATACTAAGTCACCTCACTTTGCCATTTCACATTATGTCTTGGCTTTTGGAAAATAAAAAAAAAAAAATCCTTCACAAGATTCTGGATTTTTTCATTAAAAACTGGTAGTTTTTAACAGGTGATGTCTCCCTGTTACAGGTTCCTGAGCTGGCTGGGTTTTGGCTCCTGACTCTCCTCCTGCAGTTGCCTATAATTCTCTTCCTCCTATTTAATGAAGGTCTGAAAATTCAGCCACTGGAGCGAGCAGTCCATATTGTCTTTGCCCTCTTCCTTGCCTTCCAAGTCATTGCAGCCTTTTTCACCCTGAAAAGAATGGTGAACAAACTGGCAGTTCACTTCCGCCTTAATAACCGCCTGGAGGAACATCCTGTGCCTGATTTTTACAGCCTGGGTAAAGAGGAGAGAGCAGTTTCAGTGGCTGGTAGGGGCCCTGGTGCTGGCTGGGGATCACCCACTGCAGGCCTGAGAAGCTAACAGAGGCAGGCCTCGTGCTCCTACAGCTCTGTTTCCATTTTGTTGGGTTAATCTTTACCTTCCTACATCAGAGATATTAAACAAGATCTATTTTTTAAGAGCCAACATTAAACCTCAGAGATTGGAGCTCCACTCCACAAGAAAAATCAAAGCCAATTACATAGCTGGCTTGAATGGACTGTTTGTGGACTGTTACTGCATGAAGTGCTAACACAGCAGATTTGGTGGTTTTTACAAATTACAAAGTCATGTTGCATTTGTAAAACACACAGAAGCCTTTTTTCCTCACTGTTTGCACAGATTTGTTTTGTTTACAATAAATCTTTTATACATGTTTGTGTTGATACTAGTTTTGTCTCTATTCTTCCAGATATGTTGCACATATTTCATGTCCGGTATGACAGTTAAGCCAAAAGACACCAAACCTGAAACAACAAAGAACCCCAAGAAATCTTGAGGCTCAGAAATGTAAAGATAGCGAACAAAGACTATTTCAGAGATGGTCTTCCAGATAATTCCACCACTAGGAATTCCTTACTAATAAACTAGGGATGGAATTTTAAAGGTATTCTTTCCTCAAAACTCCTGCACTCATCTTCTTTGGCTTAGCTAGAGTTTTAACTATCAAGCCATTCAGACAGAGTTGGTGCAGTTTTCTCAAATGAAGGATTCAGTAAGTCAACAGTAACAAAATTATAGCCATTCAAAAAATTGGTTTATGTCACTGAAAGGCAGAGCTCATTTTTTCTCCAGTCTCAGTAATGTTCACTTTTTGTTTCAAGAGGGGATGGGGATCAAAAGCTAAATTAAGTTTTTAATCTGAATCCTTTGAGTCTTCAGCAGGGCAAGAGTCATCCGTTTTGAGAGCTGGCACAAACATCCAAACTGCTCAAGAGGAATGTAAAGAAGATGGGTCTGATGTGAAAAAAGCACAGTATACTTAAAGCTGCTGCATATCTAAAGCTTCTAGAACCTCTGGCAAAATGAGGGCGTTAGCTTGGTTTTATACCAAAACGGTTCATTTTCTCTTTAATCCATGAGTGAATAGTACAGTTAATTCTACTATATTTCCTTCTTTGTTTTTGTTATTGTGAAGCATATATTATCAGAGCACATACCCCTTTGTTTTTAAACAAACTACTGGCTTGGATTGGCTGTTGCACAGAAGAAGAGGATTTCTGTAAGAGTCTCTAATAGTGTCTTTAGCAGTTGATATAAAACATTTAGACCCCTATATTCAGAGCCTGCAAGAGAGACAGTGAGGTTTAAGCATAAGTTACATCATTTCAAAAGCACTTTTACAGCATTAGAAACTCCTTGTAAAAACATTCTTAACTGATGCAATGGGAACATTGCACATATTCTCATGTCAACCACAATTACGCTGCTAGAGAGTGCCAAGGTCAGGGCTGATGAGCTACAGGAGAAGCTTGGTAGGATCCATTACAATAACAGATAACAGCATAATGGGCCCTGGCAGGCCAAACAGAAACATCAAATAACTTGGAGCCTGTTTTCTTCAGTAACTGTGAACTGTAACTCAGGTGTCTTAGTGCCTTGGTAGCCACACAAGAGCTGCCTCTTGCTGCCCGGATATGATGGGACTAACACCAAAGGCTGTCCTTCCTGGCCAAGGATGTAGGGTGGACTTCCAAGGAGCTCACAACCACTACTAAGAGCTGGGTGTTAGGGAAACAAGCTAATGATGTAGCATGGAAGCTGAGCACTGCTAGTTTTCAATGCCTTCCAATAGTTTGTCTAAGAGAACATACAGCTTAAGGGAAAGCAACCATATGTACACCAGCTCTAAGTCTGCCCTTGATGTCATTGACAGGACAAGCACTGGGACAGCTTAGAAGAGACACTAGGGCAGTTGCCGTCCCTTCTGCTCTTCATGTAGCTTGCCTGTTCCCCTTATTAAAAGCCCATTATGGGAGATAAGTACACAAGTACGCTGTAATCCAATCTCTTGCCTTAACTAGAAAATGGCATATCCTTTGGTTTTCTTCCCTGTATTGCCTTAAAATGTTTGAAACGTAAGCTTTTTTGTGTAATGAGTGCAAAGGGTTTTAACGGCGAGTACATCAAATACAACAAAGCTGTAAAAAAGTCAACCATACAGCAACACTGACAGCAAGGAACTGACTTCCAGGCTTAAGACCTTAAGACTCAATTCAAAATCCTTGCTTTTAGTGACAAGGAAATCATGCGCTTGGAAGATCAGATTACCATGCGAGATAATTATCAGGAGCCAAAGATACAGGGACACACAGCTCTTTGCTGGAGAGAGAGAACATTGATGAGGTGATACCGGAAACAGAATTCAGAGAAACACTGTTAGAGTTGCCTGAAAATGCTTAAGGTAGAAGCCAGTCTGATGTAAAGCTTCAGCAACATTTGATAGACAAGATCTCTGCGTTCTCTGTGCTCAGGCTTCTTAACAGACCTACTAGTCTATTTTAAATTTCATCCTTACTAGCTTAAACATTTAAGTATGAAGAAAGCTGGCAAGTACCTAAAACTTGGATTCAGTGCCTACAGCTGCATTTCTTTCCATGAGTTTCCTGCTCCTCATGTACCCAGAGACAAGAGAAGAAAGTTACAGTACCATTCAGCAAACAGAACAACAAAAACTGAGAATCACACTGAAACTTGCCTTCAGTTTCCAAATTTCACAAGAACCAGTAAGATGTTAAACAAGCACAACATATACTAGTCACTTGTAACAGTCAGATTTCAGATGCACAAAAGCAGACTTCAGAATAGAAACTTTCAATAAGCATACTGGGGTAAAAAAAAATCAAGTGAAATACATGACAAGAAAAGCGGAGGGAAAACACTACAGAAGGTACTTGCACAATAAGTATAAATCAGAAAATAAATGGAAGCCATTTTTAGCATCAAGAGCAAAGCATCAATAATGGCATTAATGTTTTAAAGAAAAACATAGGAAAGCTTCGTTTATTTTTAACGAAGAAGTTCAGGAATAATTGCCAGAACAGACTGGAAGCAGTAAAAGGTGCATGAGAACTTCAAGGCGACACAAGCAAGCAAGCTAACAGTCCTTCATAAATCCTCTTCCTCCTGTTACTCAGATAGCCATGAGCAGGTATGTTGACCCATAACAGGAAGAATATATTCACCTTGCAGCGCAAAGCGTTCATGAGTATAACATGAGACTTCAAGATTCAGCAAAGCAGCTGTTTGGGGGGTAAGGGGGTTTGGCATGTTTCCCTGCCCCCCCAAATAGATGGAAACGAAGGCAAAAGGAGGGAACTCAAGAACATTGGAAACTAGCAGAAATTCATTAAGCAGCATCTGGTCAGTTTTGAGCACAAGTTGTACAATAGCAGCTTTTTACCACACTAGGGTTTGTGCAGAGAAAAAACACACAAAACATTTTTTGATGATCTAGATGGCTACCAATAGCTCTCCCTTCCCAAACAAGATCTTTGAATGGCAAAAGTCTACGTACAGAACTCAGTTATTTTATTTCACCAAGTTTACTGTCAGGAAAGGCCAAAAGCCAATTTGAAAGCAAATTTGTACCAACATATTTCCTTAACTGGCAAAAAGAAGTGAGCAGTTGGGCATATTACCTTAAAACACTCTTTTTTAGGTTACTGATCAATTTGAAGATGAGAAGTATTTTGTATTCAAAGGCATAGTTGCCAAGTTGTTAATACCTGAACTCAGCATGTGTTCCTTGTCTAAAATAGACCTCGTAAAAGGATTTTTTTTTTTACTAGCTGCAGGACTTCAGAGAAGGGGAAATGAAATTTGGAAGAGGCTTCAATTATGTACCTTACTCAAGCAGACCTGATAAAGCAGACATGAGATAAGGCACAGATTTGATAAAAAAGGGGGTATAGCATTAACCTTTCTATACCAACAATTCTCCCTTTCAGATTGCCAAGAGTATTACACTCAGAGGAATGAGATCATACATTTCACTCTTGCCTTTGTCTCTTATAAACTAGACTAGACTTAGTGTTAATCTTCAAATAGTCAGGGAAATAGGTAGAATTGGCATCATTACACGGATAGTCAATAGTAATATTTGATAGCTGGGTAAGGCTGCAGAGGTAATTTATTTTTCAAAATAAATTTTGTTTCTCCAGGACAAAGATCAGATGGCAGCAATTACAGAGGACTTTGTTCAGTGCGTCCAATAAAGCAAAGAAAATGAAGAGGTCTTCTATAGGAGGCAGGCAAAGTAGAACATAAGGGTCAGCTGATAAGACCAAGAAGAATTCAAGCTATAACAGAATAAATAGGTTCAAGAAGTGTAACACTGAGGAAAAATGAGTATGTTGATGATTGATGCTACTGAAGGAGCCCCTGGGTACACGGAGCAGGGGATTTATTAAGAGGAAAGAGGTGTGCTAAGTTACTAGCTTAAAATGTTAGAGATTCAGAGGAAACGTTATTCCACCCGCTAGGAAGCGGCTTACAGGACACAGTCCCACATTCATTAAATACCTGCAACTTTTGCAGCTTGTTATGAAAAAAACCCACTTTCTTCAGACAATCCAAGGTATGAAAGTAATAAAATACAGTCCCTGGGAAGCATATACGAGCCCAGAGACATGAGCACAACAGAGAAACCATAGAGAGAAATAAAACAAATCCGGCAGGCAACTACAAGTGCAATGATGCTAAGACCTATGGCTTCCCCAGTGGATTTAGCAAGCATTAGTGACTTCCTTGGGAGCTGCCTTGGACATCCAGTGTTAGGGAAGGAGCTCCTGCAGTCTGTGAAAGAAGCTACTGTTGTCCTGTAAGGGACAGAAAAGACCTTTATTTGTTCACGCTGGTAGACCCATGTTGTTCTCAAGTCAAAAATTCAAGCAAGAATGCTTGAACACTCTTTAGTTGCCACATTCTCAATTTATTGAAACTGTGCCATAAGCTGAGTTCATTAAGGTGAAACGACCATCAGACACAGTTATGCCTGGTCACTCATATTGCTAGTGCTAGGAGAGATTTGTTTCTTACTA